ACGTTGGTTTCCCTGCTCAGCAGAGAGCCTGCTTCTCCCTCTCCCTCTGCCTGCCGTTCTGCCTACTTGTGCTCTCTCTCTGTCAAATAAATAAATAAAATCTTTAAAAAAAAAAAAAAAAAAGTAATAGCAAAAAAATGCCAAAATGATCCAGGCTATATAATTAGCTATAAAAATAGCCCGGATACGGTATTACCACTATACAGTAGTAACCTAATTGCATCACCCCATATGTAGAACTCACCAAAAACTTTGGAAGGTAAGACATCAAGTGCCTAACTCCGGCAGACAGTACTATGGATCCCACCCGCAAGTAATCTGAATATTCTTCCCAACAGCCTTTATTACCTATAAGCATGATGGCCTCTGATGCTGCAGCATACAACATACCCTAAGGAACTGTATACAGTTGTGGCCATTTGCTATATATTTTATTTCATCACAGTTTACACAAAAATTATTTTTATTAGAATTTATTGCATATTAATTAACAATTGTGCTGTTTAGTTAAAAATAAATACCCATTTATGTATATCACACCAAGATAAACGTACTGATACTTTTGTCTACTTCTTTCTATTTCCAAGTTTTCTAAAAAGTATACACATGAATCATATTATTTCCAAAAAATGATATTAGTTAACACAAACATCAATGCATCCGATTATAATGACCTTTCTTCATACACTTGAATTTTTTGTTTTATTTTTTTCTGTGTGTTCTTGTTTTGGTTTTTTTTTTTTTTTTAAGATTTTATTTATTTATTTGACAGAGAGAGACACAGCGAGAGAGGGAACACAAGCAGGGGGAGTGGGAGAGGGAGAAGCAGGCTTCCTGCCGAGCAGGGAGCCCGATGCGGTACTCTATCCCGGGACTCCAGGATCATGACCCGAGCCGAAGGCAGTCGCTTAACGACTGAGCCACCCAGGCGCCCCTTGTTTTGTTTTTAATGCTGTTATATTACAGATGATTTGAGAACCTTTTCTTTTCCAACTCATCTTCCAAAACTCAAACTAAACAGCCTCTCAGACAAACTCAGATATTGCATTTTCATAGATAAATTGACAGATTCACATTTAGAATGAGCTTGGGTACAGATTGCTCTCATTGCATAAATTAATTAATTTTCAGTCATAAATTGTTTTTGTTTTTTCATTTAGTTATACTTTCAATTAAAATATGATAGCAAAATGCCATTCAAGAAAAAGCAGCTGTCCTATATCCAGTTCTCAGGATAGGTGATTCACTAATTGCCTGCTTGCTATATTTTAGAAAAACTGTCTTTTTGATTCAATTTTTATCCCAACATTTTTGAGACCAATCCTAATTTCAAAAAAATACCTCTCCAAAAGAATGTGAAAATTCATTTATCCTGAATGTGTTATAGACATCTAAGCTTCAGTGGGTAGAGCTGAATCTCAGGAGATTGGTTCCATTGTTTACTAGCTCGATTGACAAATTACAGAAAAAAAAAAAAATCTGGGGACCAGGATTCTCAGAAGGGCCAGGTCCCCAAGAAACCAGTCATTAAAAGGAGAAGACAGCTTCTTCCAGGGTCAAACCCCAGCAGAGGAGATGGCAAATTTCCACTTGCTTGAGGAAAGCACAGCCCACTTGTGGGTTCAAGGAGGGCAAGGCAGATCCTGGAGCAGGGACATTTTAGGGCTCTCCATGCTGGGAAAAAAGACAGGTAGGAGAGGCTCATGTAGACAGGCACAAAGGTTTTCGGAAGGAAATCAACGTGGTGTGTGTTTTAGTGTCAAGTGACATAAATTTTGTTGTATTGTTTGCTTTGTTGACATTGAATTCTGAAATTACACAGACTTCAATAAATTCTTCCTCATTATCAAGGCGATTTTAGCCTTTGCTGATGCTCTATGTGAAAACTAAGCAAATGGTTTTGCCTAAATTGTTTAGCATATAAATCTGTAGTAACTGAAAAGTAACCAAGAAAGCGTTTTTAAGAGTCAAAGGCCGTTTAGTTGACTCTAAGCAAGATTCCAACAATAATATTTTTAATGTTTATTTTCATATAATTTCATGTAATTTCTGAGGTTGCGCTGGTGGTGCTAGTACTGAAGTAGACTCAGCATTTTGGGGAGGCAGATGTTTTCATTTTCATTTATTTGGTTTTTGTTTTATTTTCTAGCTCAACATAATTAAGGTACTGCTAACATTGAGCATTGAATTGAAGTCCTGAGCTCCCGGAATGGCTGTAGAGTAGCCAGAGAAGATGTCATGGAGAAGGTGCTATCTGAGCAGACTAGGGTAGGAGCCGCTTAGAAATACAGAGATAATATCCCAGGGAACTGAATGTGTTGAACAGAAAAGGAGTCAAGACCTACATTGTTTCCACGGTATGAAGGGAGCTGGAGTGTTGGGAGTGAATGGGATAGGAGAAAAGTGGAGGAAGAGATTGCAGAGGAGATGGGAGGAGAGAAGTAGGGCCTGCTACACTGGGAAGGCTTTGGCTTTTCTTTTGCTTCTTAAGCTTTAAGAAATCACATACCACACAGTTCAATATGTATAAGAGACGTCCAGGATTGTATCCCTGGTAACAAGGGCATAGATTTTATTAAGATATTATTTTCATTCCACATGAATTTTTCATGGTCAAATGAAGATAAAATTCCCAATGATTTCACTCAAGTATGAGAGGAAGAAATAGAACACAGCAAAAATAGTGAACTAAAACAACAATGTATTAACAGAGCAGCTGATTCCTGATGTGTGCATGAGCTGATTGGCCACATTGATTTACTCACGTATCAGGAATGATTCACAGTACCATGTGCTCCCAGTATACCCAGTAAGCTGGGTGCCACTGTGGGCTTTGAGAAGAGGAGTGACACATGCTGTCCTCTGTCTGTCTTTCCCTTTTTCTCTTCTCTCTTTTCCTTCCTTCCTTCCTCCCTCCCTCCCTCCCTTTTTCCTTCCCTCTGTTTTAAAAGTTTCATTCGGGGCGCTTTATTGAGTACTTACTGAACAAGGGCAGATGCAAGGAGACTATTGAACAATTCAGGTGAGAGGAAGTGGCACTTTTTCTGCATATATTTCCAGGTGGAGCCAGGTGATTTTGGCGAGAAATCAGATACTAGGTGTGAGAAAAACAAAAGTCAAGTTTCCTGGCCTGAGCCAGTGGGAAGATGGAGTAACCATTGATGAGATGTGGCCGACAGACTAAGGGGAGACTCTTGGGTGATAAAGAGATGCAGGTTAATTAGTGTTAAGTTCCAGATACTAATTAGACATGTCAGTGTGCTTTCAAATAGGTAAATTGTTTACATGAGGCTTATAGTCAAGCTTGATACACACATTTTGGTGTTGAGGGCCAGGTAATAGCATTTACAGTCAAGAGCCTGCATCAAACCTCAAGGGGAATGAGGGTACATTGAGAGGTGTTCAACCCTGAGGTCCTACATTAACAGGTTGGAGGATGTGGAGAGATGCTAAACAAATAAATGGATACAATGTGAAAGGCAGGTCTGTAGCTGAATTCAGAGGACACATAGCTGGGCATGTTAAGTGACAAGAGGAGACCCAGGAACACAGTGGAATCAATTCAGCCAAGCTGACAAGAGATTAAGACCACTAGGGATGCTTGAAGAGCCACTGAAATGTGGCATTACTATTTTGGTGGAGTGGTGAGGGAAAACCCCTGATTACAGTGGATTCAAGGGGGATGCAGGCAGTTGACAGGGACAACACCCTCAAGAAGGGAAGGAGTACAAGTGAGTGGACAGATGCAGGCAGTAGGTTTTAGAGAACAGAATGACATCAAGACTTTATCCTTTTTGTTCTGTCTCTTTTTTTTTTAAGATTTTATTTACTTATTTGAGAGAATGAGTGAGAGAGAGAGAGCATGAGCAGAGGTGGTGGGGGGAGGAGCCCAGGGAGAGGGAGAAGCAGACTCCTGCTGAAGCAAGGAGCCTGATGTGGGGCTCCATCCCAGGACCCTAGGACCACGACCTGAGCTGAAGGCAGATGCCCAGTCAACCGAGCCACCCAAACACCCCATTTGTTCTATTTAAAGGGAGAGAATACCAGCCTGTTTACATGCTGAGGAAATGATCTGGCAGATAGAGACCATCGTTAATTCAGGGGAGTAAGAAATTGTAATACCTGCAAAAAGTTTCACTATGTAGGAGGGTGTAGGAACTAAAGCATGTGTGGAGGGAATTGCCTTAACCCAGGAACAGACCTTTAATTTGGAGTAACATGTAGGGAGCAGATGAAGAGGAACTGAAGGTGGGAGGTGGGGATTTAGTAGCCTGAGTGTCTGGATATTCCCATTAGAGGATTTCAGATTTTTCTTCAGAACAATAGGACTTCCACTGAAAGTATAGATAGACAAGGAAGTGCCAGAAGTTTTAAAAGGAAAAAAATGTATGAGCTAATCACTCAGGAGAATGGAAGAGTAAATAGATAAAAAAAAAGGAGCAGTCATTGTTCCACAGCATTAAAGACATACTGGAGTTAATGGTTATGAATTTTAAAACAACAACATTATGTGTCGTCTCTCATCTCCTTTATTGCATGGAAGCTCATGTATGGCAGGTGGATGTTGCCTTTACCCAGGACTAGCTTTGACAATGAATGAAAGGAAGGGAAGGTGACATATTTAATGTACACAGGATACATGCTCAGTGGCAGAGTATGGTATCCAACTGGGCAAGAAAGGACACTGGTGGAGGAAAAGGTTAGCTCAGCACAAAGCTTCACACACACACACACACACACGCACACACACACACACAGAGCAAGGTATCCGTAAATATTGTTTGACAGGAGAATGAATAAACTTTCCCAAGACGTCACAGGAGATAAGCTACGCCTGACTTCTATATCAGACAAAACCCGTAGGTGAGAAAAGAGAGTCACTGCATCCATATGTGCCTGCTTTAAAAAATTAGTCTCTGAACTGCTAAACATCAATAGCTACAAATATTTGCTTGGCTTTTATATAGTGATTTTGCAAAATATTTTCCCTTCCACAGGCAATGAAGCCCCCAAATGTGTCCAGTGTCACTGAGTTTCAGTTGCTAGGATTCCAGAACCTTCTTGAATGGCAGACACTGCTCTTTGCCATCTTCCTGCTCATCTACTTTCTCACAGTCACAGGGAATGTTGTCATTATTGCAGTGGTGAGCCAGGACCAGCGTCTGCACTCACCCATGTATGTATTTCTCAAACACCTCTCCTTTCTCGAGATCTGGTATACATCCACCATTGTGCCCCTTCTCCTAGCCAACCTGTTCTCCCACGGCCAAGCCATCTCTTTCCCTGCCTGTATGGCACAGCTTTACTTCTTTGTATTCTTTGGGGCTACTGAGTGCTTTCTTCTGGCCATGATGGCCTATGACCGATATCTGGCCATCTGCAGCCCACTCCACTACTCTTTCCTGATGAGTCCTGAGATCTGCACCAAGTTGGTGGCAATCTCCTGGTTGACAGGTGTTGGCACAGGATTTCTGCCCTCCCTAATGATCTCCAAGTTGGATTTCTGTGGTCCTAACCAGATCAATCACTTCTTCTGTGACCTTCCTCCCCTCATGCAGCTCTCATGTTCCAGTGTGTATATCACCAGGATGGTCATCTTTATCCTGTCAATTGCAGTGCTGTGCATTTGCTTTTTTCTTACACTTGTGTCCTATGTTTTCATTATATCTACCATATTGAGAATTCCTTCAGCCTCTGGCCGGATGAAGACCTTTTCCACATGTGGCTCCCATTTGGCTGTTGTCACTATCTACTATGGGACCATGATCTCCATGTATGTTCACCCCAATGACCATCTGTCACCTGAAATCAACAAGATCATTTCTGTCTTCTACACTGTGGTCACCCCACTGCTGAACCCTGTTATCTACAGCTTGAGGAACCAAGAATTCAAAGAGGCTGTTAGAAAAGTCATGAGAAAAAAGTGTGGTATCTATGGAGTAAGAGTGAAGGGGAGTTTCTTTGTTAGGTAAGAAAAATTAGCACAAGAACACACAGTGGATTAATTTGGGGATTATGGGAGTGGCAAGTTTGGAGCCTTCAAACCAGAATGTCATCCTTGGCACCATGTTGAATTCCACAAGCCATAATGAAAGAGTTTCATCATGGCCCCTTGCCAACAACTGTTCAGAAGACAAATAGCCTCTATCAAATCATTTTGGGGGCAATCTTATCCTTTGACACTTTCTTTCATCTTCTGATGAGAATCTAATTGTGTGATTTCAGTGCATGATGATTTCACACATTACTTTCAGATTTTATAGTAGGATTTCTCCTGAGTTCATGAAGCATACACATAGAAAAGTTATACATCTTTTAAGTACTGGTAGGAACTGGCTTTATAGATTCAATTCCTGGTGCTATTGGTGCCTATTAAATGTCTGTGTAATGAATGGAGATATATAAATGATTATTGACCTAAATTTTCTCCTAGTGACAAGAACAAAGAAGGGTTTTTGAAGTGTCAAAGATTTATCTACAGGAATTTAGACTTTTAATGCTTTTTATTTAATAAAATTCTAGGAAAGGAAGGAAGAGAAGGAGAATGGCAGAGGGAGGGAGACATAAGTGGAGGGAGAGGACAGGTGGAGAGGGAAGAAAAGAAGGAAGGAAGGAAGGAAGGAAGGAAGGAAGGATGGATGAGTGAGAAAGCAAGCAGAGAGATGGGGAAAAAAAGAAAGGGAAGGGAAGGGAAGGAAAACAGATGGGAGGGGAGGAAGGAGGGAAGAGAGGAGTCAAAATTTCTTTTATTCAGCCAATATTTAGAAGACCTCTGCTACTCCTGCCTACTCTCTCATTCATTAATTCTACAAATATTCTCAAGCCCTTTATATATGCCAGTCCTCTTGCTGCAGTCTGGATTGCCCAGGGACACAATGGTAAAGAAATGGCCAAGGAAGATTTTGCCTGAATGGAACCTCCAGTTTTGAAGGAGGGAGAGATATATAATGACTTATCCAAGGAGTAATGGATTTATGTCTATTTGTGATGTTTGCTGTGAAAGTATAAGCTGGTGCATTTACATGGAACAATAAGGTCTGAATCAACATAGAGGGTTAGGAAAGCTTTCTATGTTTATGTTGTACTTTAATGTACACTTTACAGATGAGGAGAATAAGGATGGAAGTAGTATCCCAGGCAGAAAGCATGGCATGAATGTCATGAGAAGAAGCCTGGGGAATGTGGGGATGGAGGAAGGAGATGAGTTTGGAGAGAAAGGCAAGAACTAGTTCCCGCAGGTCATTAAAAGCCCTATTAGGGTTTTTGAATTTTACACTAAGACAAATGATGGATTATCAAAGGGTATCAAATAGGAAATGACATGATATATTTTGCATTTGCAAATCTCACTGCTGTTTAGAGAAAAGAGTGAAAGAAAGCAAGAGTTGCTGGAATCATAGCAGTAACCCACATGGGAGAGGAGCTTGGCTTGATTTTAGGTTTGATGATGTCTCACAGATGGTGAGGTTAGGAGTGAAAATTCTGGACTCATTCACTCATTCCCATGCAGTGGGGCCAGTCTGTAGTCTTTTCACAGTCCAGTAGTATATCTGTGATGTTCTACATCAATCCCTGAACTTTAGGGGTAAGTGCACTTTGACCCTTTGGCACATGTTTTTAGTTCTTTTTACCCTCCTTCTTCCAACCCTTGTTTCCTCTTCCTCCAGAATGTGACCTGTGAGGACTGTTGTTAGTCCTTATCAGATCCATCTGTTTCAAACACTGAATAAAAGGGAAATGATACATTGGAATCTGAGATAGGACAGGAAGTGGGTGATATAGGAAGGAAAGTATCATTGCTCTGGGGTTTTGGATAGAATATCAAGAAACAATCAAATACCTTATCTTTCATATGGTCATTGCTGATCAATATATTGAATATGACTTATATTTAACCAGACATAAGTTACCTTACCAAAGGTTCTTTCTAATTTTAAACTTGATAGGTAATTGGCTCTGCAAAAGGGGAGAAAGATTATTGACCACATATGAGAGATTTCAAAAAATGATGTCAAATGCGCACTTGGATGCATAAATCTGGAGCTCAGAGTAGTAGCCAGGCTGAAAGTCAATTTTTTTTTGGTGTTTTGTTTTTTTTTGTTTTTGTTTTTGTTTTACATATAGATCCTATTTGAAAACAACAGAGCATGGAGGGATTACAAAACATAAATTTTCAGTAGAGAAGAGGAACTAGGGGAAGGGAGCTAAGCTGAAGGGGAACTAAGAAGGAACAATCACATAAATGGAAGGGCATTTGTAAGGTGGTTATACAGACTCTTCCAGAGGAAGAGTGTTTTGGAAGGAAGAGGTGGTGAGCATGGAAGGTAAGGATTAACAGGCTTTTACCAATGTGTGCAGTCTAGAAGTGACAGTTGTTCCTAGAAAGGAACAAAGCTTCTTTGGAATGGGAATGGGAATGGCTTGCAATGGAAGCAATTATGTGTATGCAAACAATTACCCTGAGAAATGCAACTGTGAAAGAGTGAGATAAAAGTGCCTATATTGGAAGGGTCGTTGTGTTTTCAAAAGAGGTAAGATTTTAGCATCTGAGTAAGTTTGAACACTTCCATTAAGAGTCCAGTAGTGAGCAAAAATTTGAGGAATGGACATGGAGGTGATAACTGAGAGCCTGAGGTTGAAAAGGGAGGGATCTGAGACAAATGTGACTCAAATGAGCATTGAAAGGGAAAAACATTTATTTACTGTGAAAGGCAGAAAGGAGAGGATATTGCAATCTGATGGGTATTCAAATAAATAGGACTTGTAGACCTCCTCATCTGTGGACTTATAGGGCTTATGTTTCTGAGATAAGGTAACAACTCTCCCTTACCATAGAAAATGCGGGTCTAAGTTTGAAGAAAGTGGTAAAGTCATTCCAAACTCATTTGGTAAAATGGGATTGATAGATATCGAAAGACAGGTGGATTTGGGGAAAAAATGAGTGCCTAGATGAAGTAGGATATCACTGATTTGTTGTGATGTTGAGTTGCCTGTCTTGTGCACTCTGCTTTAAGATCACTCAGCTGTTTGTGCTCAGGCCCATACAACAAAATAGTTCATTTTGGGTTGAGACTTAGCTCTGTGTATAGAGTTGGAAATAAAGGCAAAGAGAATGGATTTAAGAGTCGCAGATTGTCAGGAAGATAAATCAATATAGGAGGGAAGTGAAGCAAACAATGACCAGAAGTCCAGAGTTTAAAAAAAGAGAAAAAAGCGGGATTGTGTTATAGGATTTTGGTATTTGTTATAGGACTATCTGTGCTATGTGTATAGATAGGAAGTGACACATAGAAGTTTAGTGGCTTAAAATAGTAATTAAAGACAGGGTTTAGTTTTAGGAGATGACAAACCAAAAGTATGGCCATAAGAATAAGTGAGATAAATCAGGTCATGAAAAGAAAGATGAATTGGTCACATCGCTGAGGACAAGCACTCCAGTAGGAAAAAAAAGAAAGTTATGGTCCTGGTGTCTTTTGTAAATGAGAGGTAGTCAGTAATTTAGTAAATTGTCTCAATAAGGGGAGAGTGGGTTCACTACCTTTTTAGCATGAGGCTTAAAACATATTTTTTTAAAGGAGTGGGAGAACAATATCCAAGGCAAATCATTTAAGAGCAGGGAGTTTATTATGTGCATAGACTGACCTTGAGATACAAGGAAAGGGAATGTTAAGCAGTTCCATTTAAGACAATTAGTGCTCAGTTCCCATTCAGGCAGGGAGGTGGGATAAGATTCATGAAGAAGTGGCTGAACAAGAGACAGGAATTCCAAAGGGAGCCTTAACTGTGACTGACCCAGGGCTGCCAGCTTTTCAAGACCTCTTGTGGGGTGAGCCTATCAGTGTTCTCTCAAGGCACCACTCCGGCCTTGCATGGAATATTTCGGAGTCCCCATCTTCAATGGAAGTACATTTAACATGTTTTAAATTAAACACAATTTGATTCTCAGTTCCTTTTAAAAGATCTCTAGACCTTTGTGTTGTGGCATTAAAAGGGCCACTGTTACCTGTGTTGTTGATTACTTGCTTCTATTCTCGGTTGTTCAAGAACTATGATACACTCAAGGGTATTATATTTTTAAGGAATCATTTCAGAAATTTGTTATAGCATGGACTAAGAAAATTATATGGAACTTCTAATGAAGTCCATCCCTATTACTACAAATAAATTTCTATAAGCACATATGTTACCAATGGAAACATATATAATTTTCCTGGTTGTTGTTTAATCATTTGGTTGATCTATTAACTGTACACAATAAAAAATAACATTTATTATGATGTAAACATTAATTTTTTGTTAAGTATACCACTTTACCAACAATCTTATGACTGTGAAGAAAAGGGAAATTGACATTCTATCATTTCTATCTCTAACAAACACAGAAGGAAAAGTGACTTTAACCCCCAATGGCTCCAGCTAGATCCTGAACCATTTTTATGTGATCACGTGATCTAAAATGTTTTCTTGAAGATCAGTTACCCCTAAATCTGTCATTTGAGAATAAGGACTATGACTTTATCCCTGGTTTTAACTTATGTCCTACTCTCAACAGGCAGCACACAAATAGACACAGATGAAGGGCCAGAGAGAAGAGCCAGGAGAGACTAGGTACTGGTAACCCTATACCAGCCCACAGTGTCCTTTTGATTGACCTATTTTCTTTTTTGTCCTTTTTTTTTTAATTTGACAGAGAGAGAGCACAGCAGGGGGAGTGGCAGCAGAGAGAGAGGGAGAAGCAGGTTTCCCGCTGAGCAGGGAGCCCGATGCAGGGCTCCATCCCAGGACTCCGGGGTCATGTCCTGAGCCAAAGGCAGACGCTCAA